ACACACACACACACACACACACACACACACACACACACACACACACACACACACACACACACACACACACACACACAGTAATATAGTGCGAGCCCCCTGATGCATTAGCGCAGTTTCTAGTTTCTTTTAAAGAAAAGCACGTTGTTATATGGGATGAAGTGCCACACCTTGTGCACCCACCTTGTGAAAATCCTAGATCCACCTGTGTGTGTGTGTGTATGCATGCACATGCACTGTTCAAGAGGGTTCATGAAAGCTTGTGCTGCACGCACGCACGCACGCACTGTTCAAGAGGGTTCATGAAAGCTTGTGCTACACACACACACCATAAGCTTTCACGAACCAGCTTGTTACTTCATCTTGGCTTTATGAAACAGAAAGAGGCTTATACGAAGCACCCTTCAGTTTTCTCATTTCCAAGGACACTTTATGCCTGTTCCCCACGCCCCAGAGGCCTTGACATGCAAAATGCTATTGCATGCTGCTGAGTGCTCTTCCACATCCTTCTGCCAAAATCACTTGGGAGGCAAGGATGAGAGGCTGTTCCTGAGAAGGGCAGCATGCCTGCAGCTCTTATTGGAATCACTAGAATCAAACTTTAGGGCTGTATTATTTAACTTGGGCTGAGGCTTAGTTTTGGGAGGTGCTGGATGTCCTTGCCAAGCATCGACAGCCCTCCAATTGAATTTGAGGATCAGACTCTAGATCTGTTACTTATAACCACGTTTATGTCATAGTAAAGATTGTGTGGTTTTGTAGCTGAAGTAATATAATGATAGAAGCCTTATTTTGTTGTCTTGGCATTTCATTTGCTTGTTTTAGTTTTTCAATTTTAATCACCTTTTAGCAGCAAACTGTTGTTACTTGCACAGACCCCTTTTAGGTGTTTAAAACTGCATTATACCAAACCTAAATTAGCTCTTCTGTCTCCTGTAGATATGGGCGCTCTAGTACTAGAGGTAATCACCAAACCTGACCATCTTCCTGTTGGCAAAGTTCAAATCAATGGATTGTCACAGCTGTCTCCAAGCAATCCAATCAGTGGATTTTTCACCATTGTTTCACCAACATCTGAGAAACTAGGAGAAGTGCAGGTAGTACTGAAAATTTTCCTCCAATTTATAGTTTGTATTTCTACAGCAACTTGGAGCCCAAGTCAAGGGCTAGACACCACTATGCAGGGGCTACAGAATAAAAAGCAAAGGAATGGTTCATGTCTCAGCCTACAGCAGTGGTTCTCACCATTTTTGGGCTTGCTGCACCCCTCATTAGACTCGAGGTGCCCCTCCATAACTTTTGTGAATACAGTGGCACCCAGTTTGAAAACTGTTTTGCAGATTATGGTGCTTGCTTCCTAGAAGAGGGGCCTGGCAGTGGGAATGGGGAATTGTTCAGGCAGGGACAAGCCTGAGCCTGCACTTACTTAGTTTATCTGCTTATCTCCTAACACCTCACTTATTACCTCACACTTCACAACTTTCAAAAGATCGGGTAACACCCCAGGGTGTCCTGGTATCCTGGTTGAGAATCACTGCGTTACAGTCTAAGACAGGAGATGACTGATGGGTAAGGACAGGAAAATTCACACACGCTGAAACAGTGTCAGTCAGCATGAGAAGTGGTATTCATGGCATGCTAGCAAACGGACTGTTGTGAATATTTTATGACTTTTTAAAGACCTCAAACTAGATTTCAAATCCATATTTAATTTTAAACATCCTTTTTATTTTCTTTTTTTTACCGCCCTGGCACAGTTTCTCTGGAAAAAGTGATTCCTTAGCTTTGTGTGATGTGAAATAACAAACGAATATTTCAGAGTTTAGGCTGGTGCCCTGCATAACTGTGTAAAATACATAACATTTAGGAGTGGAAAAACAATATGCAGTAGAGTATAAAAACCACACAGAAATAAAACACATGCATTTCTTTATATTGTCTCTCTTAGATATCGTTAGTTTTGGAACCATTCCCTGAAACCTATGACAAGAGCAGCTGTCTCCCAACCACAGATGCAAGTAAAGATACTATCTCATGTGCTAAGGGAACCAAAGGGATGAGTGAAACCGGCAAGCCTCAATTTCTTGCTCCATCACAAACATACAGGCCTCCTGGGCTGACTGTTACTGGAAGAGAGTCTGCCAACAGCAGCAGGGGTGCAACCCCTAGGTAACATTTTTCCTTAGATACATTTTCCAATTCATATGGTTTACTTTTAAGCAGTAGCCATTTGGCTATATCCAATGGGGTAAGTCCATGTGTAGTCTGAACTGTGCAGTAATTAGGGGCATAATTAGAAAAAGAATAATAGGAGCAGATCCTCAACCGATATAAATTGGCGTCACTCCACTGACTTCACTCAAGCTCTGCCAGTTTACACAAGTTAAAGATGTGGCCCAGAATGTATCTTAATTAAACACCTGAGTTGGCATGTCTCATGGTGGGAGTGTAAGAGGAGGAGGGAGAGACAAGATTGTGTGCGCCACAAAATAATGAATACATCACATAGTAGCATAACTAGGGGTGGGTGAGAGGGAGCACCAACCCTGGGTACCAAGTTAAGAGGGGCACCCGGAATGGCCTCCCACCCCTGCAGAGTCCACACCCTGGCAGTGTACCCATACTGGGAACTCCAGAACAGTCCTCCCTTCTGCTGTTTTAACAGCAACAGGTAGGGTGCATAGACCATTTATAGCAGTAGCTCAGCTGAGACTGTGCAGGAGTTCCTGGCATGGGCAAGACTGCTGCCTCCCAGCCCCTGCTTTCAGAACCCATGCACACACCACCCCCTGCTTTCAGAATCATGCTACCTTGCTCTCCTGCAGGGTTGCCCGTAGGTGTCAACCCTCCTTGTTATGCCACTGATGTCAAATTTCTCTTTGGATTATAGTAAGAGAGTGGGCCACTGCCATCCTCTGTTCAGAAAATATGTATGAGATTTTGAAGAGCATGAGTTTACAGACCATATGGGGTTCTGTTGAATTTGTCTTTTGCAACAGAGGAAAGGACCACTTGTTCTTCCAAGAGAATTCTGAGAACATAATGGACAGTTTCTTTGGATCTCAGATTTTACCAGATGAAACCTTAAAACCAAATCCTTCAGAGCAGCAAACGGCATTTCCCAATGGTTCTGATTTTGAGAGACAAGCTAGAACAACCATAGAGAGCCACGGTAAGGCATGGGTACTGCCTCTGCACAGCCCAGTTACAAAAGACCTTCTGTCAGGTTAGTACATATTTGGCGTTGGTTGTTTAGTTTTCATTTAAAATTACAAAAATCATTAGTATGTCAGTCATCCACCTTTGCACAACAGAAGGCTTTAGGAAAAAAAGGTTGCTCCTAATGTATTTGTTTCAGTGTTTGGAACATAATTTGATACCTAAAGCATCCCTACGTGACAGTGAAAAACAATGAATTTACTGCTGGGGCCAGGTGGCCTGACACCCGTGAGAGCAGGTCCTGCATGCTCACCAGCTATACAGGCTTCCTCATGCTTCCCCATTAGGGTGTCTCAGCCCAAAGTAAAAGGGTGGAAGAGGGCAACATTGGTCTCATTGTCTGCATAATCATTGATTTATCACCTGAGAATGATGATGGAAAGTGCCAGTGGGGTTAGTTGAGAGGAGGGGGGTTACAAATTGGATTTAAACTGCTAACTCACTTCTCCTGGGCTACTAAACTGCAACTGTTTTCCCTGGGGTTGGATCCAAATAAATAATATCACTGGAAACTTCCACATCTTAACAGTTTTTTAGTCATTCACTGCATTTGTTGAAACACTGTGAAAATAAATTGCTGGTAAGGAACCCAAAGATGGCTCGCCAGCCTTCCAGAAATTAATCTAACCGCCACACCCATCTTTCTTACCTGCTCTCTAGTCTGTATAGCATAAGTGTGTTGCTACCTTTATAGTATACCAAGCTTAATAATCACCAGTATGTCCAGGACTCTTTATACTCCTAGAAGTTCCATGTATCTGTAGCTGGCCTATTTATTGTGCATGCTCAGGACTTTGGTGTGTTAAATTGCACTGGAATTCTGCATTTTAATCCTTCTGTTTCTTTCCCAGCTCTCCTGGATCAGGGCAATAAACTCTGCAATGCTATGGCTGTCTCTGCAATGAAGTCCAGCCCAGATACCAATGCTGAGCTGAGTGAATTGCATCCACCTATAAAGGGAGATGCTTTCAAAGCAACAGCAAAGTAAGCTTGGAAGGGGGGAGTGTGTGTAATAATTTCCACGTTGTACATTTCAAGGCATTATTATGTTTTCTTGAAATGCTGTGGTTAAAGTCACGCCTTTTGGGATTCTTATTCAAATGTGAAAAACTAAATTCCCAGGGTAAATAAATTACTGTATTTCCTACAGAGTGCATTGATTTAAATCACCAATTTTAATTATTTAAATGAGTAATCAGGAAATGGAAGTATAAATAATTGATTTCTAATCTCTCTTTGCATTTGTCCTCTTTTTTAGTGGCTAGTATAATTTTAAAAATCTAATGATTTGTAATCTGTTATAGTTTTTTATATTAAAATTTGTACATAATTTTAGTAGAAGAGGAGATTATACCTGTGTTTGTGTATACGTATATATGCACATATGTGTGGTAGGCTACAACTATTATAAAGTATGCATGCACATTTATTTGGATTCTTTTACATTTTCTGTATTAGCAAATGATGATTGAGGCAGTTCTGTTATACTAAATCATTCTTTCCTTGGGATTTGTGTCAAGTTGTATTTGGATGGAAATTAGATTTAAAAATTCACAAAATCAGCATTCAAATAAAATTACCTCTAACATGGTGGATATAAAAGGAAAAAATGAATAACATATGATTTGTTGTTATTGATAATGTATTAAGGAAAAGGAAGGCAGTGCATCTGGTCACCAGAGGCAAGATTTTTAAAAAATATTAAGGACCTATTAGGTTTTTATGCTGAAAATGTGAAAATATCTGTTTGTTTAGTAGTTGAAACGCACAAAAACCCTGGAAGAAACAAAAATATTCATTATCCTTCTTCCATTTCTGGAACTCTCTTTACTGGGGTATCTACTATCCAGGAGCCTTAAACCTTTGAATTCTGCTGTTGTGTCAGCTGCTGAAGATACCCTCCTGCTAGCAACTGAGTACCCAAGTCAAGAATTTGATCCACATGCTGAAAGCAAAGCAATACAGCTCCTGCTGGGCAGGTGAGTGCCGTAGTGTGCACTGAGACATTCTTGTTGATATTGCCAGGCCAAACCAGGTCTGAATCCTGCTCATACTTATACATATGCTTAAGTTAATGCACAGGAGTGGTTACTCTGACTTCATTAAAACTCTTTATGGGCATAACATTAAGAACATGCTTAAGTCTTTGCAGGCTTTAGAACCCTTTTTTATTCCATTTTCTAGTTTTCTTGCAATCATGTTCTTGAATTTTCTCCCCTCTGGCAGAAAATTTAACTTAGTTTCATTTCCACTGGGAGGAAAAAAACCCACACCCCTGGTTATGTCTCTTACAAGTATGTTACATAAAAAGACAATACTTAAAGGGCTGCTTCTCCAGTACTTTATGATTAGCACTTGCAAATGGTATCTTGTTCCCAGCTTTTGGAAATGTTGCCATCTACCACAGAAGAGAGAGAGCTCAAGGAGGTGTTCTGCCAGTGTATCTTCTCTCTGTTCTGACTGAGCAATGTGGGAAATAGTTCTCCACACTTCTCAGGTCCTTGCCTCTCTGAGAATGCCTTTCAGCAATGCAAGAAGCTTGTGTGAGGCTGACCTCTTGCTGGCCACAAGTGGATCACCATCCACCAGTTCATTGCCCAAAGCGATTAAAGGAGAGAGAGTTTAGAATACCATTTTTGTGAAAGTTTTTCCCCCTACAATTATTAAGGATGGCATGGTGTTTGGGGGACTGCGTAATTCAGAAAATTGTTCATGGAATGTGAAGCCTTTCATCACTATGAGCCCAGTTGGATATGCATTAATAAGTGAAAGCTGTTGGTATTTGACCATCTGTTTGAGCTGGTTGCCTTTCAAGTTGTTTATTGTCCCTGTCCTACAGCTTGTCATTCCTTAAACTTTGGTTTTTGGCAGCATAGTAGCAAGACCAAGAACTGATGCAGCAGTGGAAAGCAGAGTGCTTCTAGAACCCT